GTTAGGAAGAATAAGTTCTGGATATCTTTTGCATACTCTGATGACTAAGCAATAATATTTCAAATATTTCAAATTAACTAGAAGAGAGAATGACGAAATTCTTAACCACAAAGAAATAATATAGGTATGGGATGTACTAAATAAAGTTATTTGATTATTATACAATGTATACATGTATTAAAACATCATACTATACCCCATTAATATTTACAATTGTTATTACATGTCAATTATAAACAAAAGGTGCATATAGAGCAATCTCATTGCAAATCTCATAATAGAAGTTTTTAATTATTTTATTCTTATTTTTATGAAACATTTACAAAGTTTTAAATGTACCCTAGCATACTAACAGTAACTCTCTTCTAATTCTTGTGTTTATGCAACTGTTATTTGTCTATTTTCTGGATAAATTACAAATTTCCTGGGGCCCAATACAAAGACATTTAGTTCAGTACTGTATATCTGTTGATTTTCAAAACATCTCTCATGTAATTAATCCAGGAATTATTTGTGGAATGCATAAATGAGTGATGTTTACATGACACACATAGAATCTGGTTTGAATAAAATTACCAAACTCTTTCTTTGGAAAACAAAAGGCTGATTGAGATGAACAGAGTTCACAGGTATTAGAAAGGGACACCCACACATCTAGAGTAGCTTAAGGAATGGAGTCTCATTGATTGCTTGGGAATTCGGGCCTTTCTGCTTCTAGCCATATAGTCCTTGGCAACCACTCCACCTACAACAGTAGCTTGTTTTCTAATCTATGTACTGGGAAGAGCAAGAGTAATTAATGCATTGATATTTCCTTAGAATGGACCGAATTAATTCACTTAAAATACTAAATCATGAACACATTTAGCACTTCAAAATGGTTGCCATTTTTATTTTAACATTTCCTCTTCATGACTTTTTAAAAGTTGGCAATAATCACTTAATATGTTTGCATTACCTTTTTTTTTAAATTTGAAAAGTAACTGGAACTTAGAAACTTTTCTTCTGTATTAGATTCATCGTCCTTTACACTTTAAAAATAGAAATTGCTTATAAGTACAATCAGTCTCAAAATTGCACAAAACTTTACTACCAACTGCTTAATGGGGAAACCTGCAAGGGACATGCAGAATGAACAATCTACTTCTTATTCTTTCAGTTTCATATTCTTTTAGCTTCTTATTCTTTTCAGTTCAGTTCTAGATTCCTATCTTTTTTATATTTTCAAATGCAAAGAATTCCAACCATAGAGGTTACATCTCACAAATCTCTGAATTGGAAAAAAGAAATAGTGATTACTATTTATAGTAATAAATAAGAAGATCACAAAGTGTTCTCCAGTTTTTTTTTTTTTTTTTTTAGCTAATCTGAAGAACATGAATTAGATCTAAGGAGAGATAAATCTGAAGTTACCTCTTTGATAATATATGATATGCAACATTAAAGAGAAAAATGTGATTGTTTTAGAGTTCACACTCTTTACATATAAGATTGAAATGGTATGATGTGACAGGTGAACTTACCTGGAATTTCAATGAATTAATATACACATAAATATAAGAAAAAAAGAGGAATTTAAAAACTATATTTGATGAACACAGTTTCAAATCAGATTCATTTCCTGAGAAGAAAATAAAATCATGAATCTTTATTTTAATGATTATTTGGCCACATGACATTTCTCGGTAAGAAAGAAAGTTTCTGTCTGATACACGGTTTTGGTAAATGTTTATAATTTTTCATTGTCCATTTAATCAAATGCGGCTTATCTGTGAAAGATTTAAAATTACAAAATCATTTATAAAAGCTACTTCCAAAGAATTAGGGGCATATTTTATTAAGTCTGCAATGAAAACTTGCTGTATTTCAGCTGACCATATACAGCTTGTCAGCTGTCCTGCGTTTACTATCTGTTTAGCTGAAAGGAAATGAAGCTGAACACCCATTTTACATAGATTAATTGATTGTTTCCTTTTACATGATTAGTGTATGATAATTTTTAAGATGTTTCATTATAAAATGTAAGTTGCTTGCCGTTTCTATGAAAAACTAAACATGGAAGTAAACCAACAAAAAACACAAAGAACCAAAAATATTTAAACTCATCTTTTTGTCCCAGGTTAAGAAATGCCAATAGTCGGGATGCACATATTAATAGACTAAACACTTGAGGGCAATATAGGATAACATTAAATAAGAAGAATACAGGATGTTATTAAACTATTCACATTTCTAAGCGTAGCTTGCATTTGTGAAGGATTAAAAGTGCAATATTGATTTTCCCTTTACTTCTTTACTTATTGTGGATATGGACTGAAGATGCCGAGTACAACACAGCACATTCGTATTTTTTAAGTTGTTCTCAACAAACATGATAATATACAGTCTAAGAAGCTGATCATGCCTGGTAGAACTAGGCTAACTACTAGAAAGAACACAACACCCACCCACAGAGCCCCAGACTCAGCACCCCCACTCCAGCTGTGAACCTGATATCAACAACTGGTACTTCACAGGCTGCTGTTTACATTTCAATATAAATTAACTAAGAACAGAAAATTTAAACCTCAGGTTGTTAATGGCTGTAGGTATATTTTAAGTATTCAATAACCACCAGACGACAGAAAATTTTACCAGATGGTGGTGGTCTGGACTTTTATAGAAAATCAAAGAGTGTGCCAGAAAAGAACAATTATTGGAGATTTTAATGTCTAAGCTAAACTGAGTTTTAAAAAAAAATCCCAAAGACTTTGTAACAATAAATGTTGTATCCTAATTAAATGTTTTAATTATGTTATATTTTAAAAACTGACACTGAGAATCTTGATTATCATATGATTTATAAAATAGCATGCATCATGCCAAGAAACCTGATCATGTGTCTGATAGTTTTAAATTTGAAAATCATTTTTAGTTATGAAAGGAGAAAACAGCATTTATATGGTAATATGTGGATATGCAATTCACAGCTCACCTCTGCCAAGAGTATACATTGTAATTTTAACAATTTTTTGATGGGATTCTTTTTAAAAATTGTACATATTTATGGGCTACAGTATTTTTATATATGTATACAATGTGTGTTGATCAATATTATTTGCATATCTGTTACCTCAAATATTTATTACTTTCTTGCATTGAAAACATTCAAAATCTTCTGTACATAGCTGTAATTTTCATTCTATGCATTGTTTATTTTACTTACTGTAATATTCTCCGGTTCAACCCATGTTGTTGTAAATGGTGACTGAATAGTATTCTATTATATATAGGTATGTGTTATATATTTTTTTACATATTTACACATAAATATATATTTACATATACATACACACATCATATTTTTATTAGTAATTCATTCATTGAAGGACATGTAGCTTAATTTTGTTTACTAAAAAACAAACCCTCTTTTCTCTGTTGTATTCCACAAAAACCAATTAAGAAGACTTCTGTGACCCCACAAATATGCAGTAAGCAAGCCATCAATTTTCCAGCAGCTACCACCTGGGTATGCTTTAATCCAGTTCAGTTCTGTCTTAAGGTAGTGTCAGATCTCACAGGACCCAGCACTCGGTTCCACAAGATCTGCAGTTTAGATGCCAGTCACCTGTTTGGTGGGTGAGAGGATAGTGTGCTGAATGGAGTGAAAAAGAAAACCCTAAAAATCACAGTTGACACAAGACTTAACAAATTTTAGGTCTGTGTCAACCTCAATTAATGAATTTCAGGAAAACTGAAAAACTTAAAAATACTTAAAGTTCCATTAAGGTTAGAATGAAATGTCCTGGCTTAGAACAACACCATTTCACGTTTACACTGTTTCTATTTTCCCTCCTCCACATGGTGTCAGTCTCCTTGATTTTCTGGAGCTGAGGAATTGAGGTCCAAGATGATCCAAGCGGCTGACGGTTGATAAGTGTCTGGGCTTAGCTTGGGCTGTCAACCACAGCACAGGTGCCTTGTGCTTCTCACCGTGTGGAGATGCATTTATGAAAGAAAGTGTCTCAAAAGCAAGAATTTTCAGAAAAAGGAAGCAGGTGATTCAGGTCTAGTGAGAACAAGGTTCAGAACTGGCACCCAAGGAGAGTGTTCTCTCCTTGGATTCTAATAGACAAAGGCCCAATCTCCCTCAGCCTGGGAAGGACATCAGTGACCCTTTCCATACGGGTATTATTCAGAAATATGTGGCCACTTTTATTTAGGTTCCCCTTCTCTCAGTCCATCTCTCTTCTAAAATTCCATTTCAGCATCATGTTTTCCTATCATAGTATGAGTCAATGTCATCTTGAGAAACAGGCTTGCCAATATGAAAAATATCATGGTTTTACACGACTTCTGTAATTTAAAAAGTGTAATAAATGTGAATTACAGCCATCATGTAAAAATGTTTAAAGTTGACTTAGAGTTATGAAAATAAGGTTATGACATAGAGGGAGTATAAAATATGAGAGCTAAAAAGTGTATTTTCCCTAAAACCTAATGTAATTCTCATTGAAGCATTGCAGTGTATTTTATGCAGTGATTTACTGGACACATTTTTCATACTTTTCAGAATATATTCATTTCCGCAAGTAACATTTGAAAGAAGATTAGGTCAACTTTGAAATTAATATTGCTTAAAAACCACTTAAGTTCTATAATTTAACTTAAAATATAAAATGATAATTATTTCTATGAGATAGAAGAAAACAGAAGAAGCAGTCAAAAAATTATTTTCATTGGCATGGAATGGGTTTGCAACAAATTATGATATTCTAGTGAATCTGAGTGATTGATAAATCTGATTAAAATTATGATTCTTTAATATGTAAATCCAATAAACAGATTTGTATAACAAATAATAAATTAGTGGTAATATTATTATTAGTGAAAACTCATGGATTATCTTAATGTTTGATTTTATTTATTTTTTCTAATTCACAACGTAGCTTATTGTTCACACATCCCTGACAGTCAGCTTTGTCCCATCAATGCTATTCAATTCATGTTCAGCACTCCCTGAAGGCAAATGAAGCAGTCCTGTTTATGAACAATGTATTATGCTAGATGAATGTGCAGAGCTGATTGGTATGGATGTCGAATCCTTCATAAACAACAAACTCCACAAAAACAAAAAACACTGGAAACCACATCATCAACCTCTCTGTGACTCACTGGCTGAGAAAACCAATGGTGGCTTCAACGACACATGCTAATGGTCCAATTTCTGCACAGTTTACCAAGGTGAGTGGCATTAGGATTGTTTATTAAACGGGGGTTGAATTGAACAAAGCAGCCTAAGAAAGGCAACCAAGGACCAAATTCACAACAAAGTGGGATTATACAGCTGTCCTCATTCACATACTTCTGTTGTGTACATATTCTGGGGGACAGTTGTATTCTCTGGGCTTCTTCTTGGTTCTGAAATAAGCATATCACTGAGAGCTAAGTTTTATCTGAGGTTATTTAAATTCATAAAATCCATCTGATGGGAGGGTAAAAAAAATTGCATTTGTTTCTTGACTCCATTTGTTAAACAAAAAGCTAAGAAAAAGGGACAAGACCTAGAGCAGCATCATGTATTAACTCCCTTTGGTTAAATTCTGCTTCTCCTCTTGCTCTTTTAGTCCTAGTTCCATCTACTCACTGTTTCTCATTCTAACATTTTCATTTCTAGGAAAAGAAAATGATCTATCAAATATTAAATTAATGTTGTAATTCCATTGAATTTGTTTCTCTTAAGGAGGTGAGATAAATAAAACAGTTTCAAAGTTAGGTCAAAGGATTTCCAAATTTTTAAAATTTTTATAAATTTAAAAAAAAATAAATGACAGCTGAATGCATTACAATTCTTATTATACATATACAGCAGAATTTTTTACAAATCTGGTTGTATATAAAATATCTTGACACCAATTTATGTTTTCATATATATACTTTGGATAATGATGTCTATCACATTCCACCATCCTTGCTAATCCCCTGTCCCCTCTCTTTCCCTCCCACACCTCTGCCCTATCCTTAACTAATTGGTTATACCATGAAATAAATATGAAATTAATGAAAATAAAGAAAAAACAGTGATATACAATTATGCATTGTTGCTATGTTGTGGTTGTATTTAACAATACTACAGGAACACAACACTGGGGACACTTGTGCTCCGTAGTAGCTGACTCACCTCCTTGTGAGCTGTCACAAGTGGCATTGAGATAAATATGATTTTGACATAAGAAAATTCTGCAGATATGAATGTAGATCTTATGTGCCACTAACTCAGAAATCCATTAGCAAAAACCAATCTGGTAGAAACAATTTAAAAATTATTAAACAACAAACCCCAGAAAAGTAGATGCCAGAACACATTTACTGTGGGCTTCTGCTTTTCTATTTTCCAAATAAATGGCAAACTGAATTCTAAATGTTGTCTCCAATTAATTAAAAGCAATCAAATTTTAAGTATGAATTTAGCACCATGTAATTTATTACTTTGTTACAAATATTTACATTGCACTGCTGTGGTTACATTCAAATAATTTATTTCTTATAAAAATGCAGAATTATTTTTATAAAAAATATTTTTCTAATTTGGGTCTGCATTAGACAATGTATATGTAACTGAAGTTTATTTTTAAATACAAGTTTTTTAAAAGTCTATCTACATTAATTTTCAAAAATTTGCCCCCTTGGTTTAATTTAAATCACATCTATTTTTAAGAAATTATTTTTCTTAAAATAATGGTCTATCATGGACATTGGATTGTGTTCATGAAGGTGAATGGTAATGATTTAAATCCCTACAACTGAATCATTTTTCAATGTTACAGTAAAACATTTTTTGTGGCAATGATTCAAAACATTGTTAAGGTATTATTTCTCTAAGGTTCAACATAAATAGCAGGAAGGGGATTATTTAGCAATGTTTTTTCATTTTTACATAAAGGTAGATTAAATACTTCCCTCCAGTCTTAAATTTGTGGCAGGATCTAAACAAAAAACCTCAAAGTTTACCTTGTTTTCACAAATGACAATAATACAATGATAGTAACCTTCAGATAAACCAAAATTGTCAGATTTTAGCATGTTTCATAACTAAAAGTAAATTTTGTTTCATTTTGAGGCATAGATAATATGAAATAAGAAGCAAGAAACATCTTGTATTTTTATTTTTAGGTCAGTATTTTGCCTTTGGTTCTTCTTGACAATATTTATAGAACATAAATACCCTTGAACTTAAAGTGTTTCAAAATTAGCCTTTTGGAGGCTCCACTGTATAATTTAGTGCAAACTCTTTTTAAACTTAGAAGATACATCTATTATTCTTCCATTTGAATACCTAAATTCCTTAACTTCAAATTGAGATGTGAGACGCATCCTCTATGAAGTGATTTCTCCCTTTTCTGAGATCCTCTGAACTTCGTTTTTATTATTTCTTTGGGACATATTATGTGCGACATATGAAAATTATTCATGAATACACAATCTATAAACTCTTTTGGTATCAGAACATGATTTATAGTTAGTGTGTGTGTTATGGCTGTTTGCTACATAGGATCATATTTCATATTTGCTCCAGTAGAAGATAACTTTCCAAAATATAAACACTTTCCCTTTTTGGTCTCACTTTAAAACTGTTTTACTGCAACCTCACATAACAGAAGTAACCAACGAAAGTGACAATTTGCTCCCACTAGCTCCTTTTTAAGGCACTAGCCCTTTCATTGGGGGACCCTTCATGGTCTAACTATCCTATAATGGTCCTAGCTCTTAGTAAAGTTACATTAAGTAAGAAGTTTCAACATAAATTTTGGAGGGAACATAAACATTCAGGTTATAGAAGGTCCAACTTCCATGACTTTGCCTAACTCTAATTACTTCTCAAAGGTCTATATCCAAATACTATCTACACTGGCTTTAGGAGCTCAACTTATGAGTCAAGGGGGGACATGTTTAACTCTGTAGAAATACCTGGGTTAGTTTGAATTATTTGTTCACATATTTATTTCTCTTGCTCATCGACAACCTTGACACTTTTTCAGAATAGGTGGATTGCTCCTCCTTGAAAGTTGACTTTGAACTTGACCAAATGAACAACTTTGGCTGAGAACACAGAGTGGAGACTCCATTGTTCCAGTAATGCTACAAAAAATGTTGCTGAGAAAGATAACAGAAGGGAACAAAACTCACTTGGCTGAGACCCTAAAGATGGGAGAAATTCAACCAGTCACCCAAGTTCTTTCAGCATCAACGTCCTTTGTCAGTGACATACTGGGGTCTGCTGGTGGTAAGAGAAAGGGTGGAATCAGAGAGTCTAGTAGCTAGAGTCTCCTGGGAAAGGCTTCAACATATGAAACCTGTATTACAGTTGCAGTTCATTGAAAATAGTCGGTACAGGCATTTGGTACATGCGTCATAATTTGGTGGTTAATTTGTGGGGAATAAAAGAGAAGTACAACATAATTCAAAATTTTCTCCAAAGAATAATTTCATAATAAAATTACCTTTTAAAGCAACAGAAAACATGCAACCAGAAAGAAAGGTTAGATTGTGGATGTGCAAATCTGTGGCAGAAATCATGGATTTTATAACTTAAATTAGACTCTAATGGAGCAATATTAAATCACTTAATATTCAATGCTAAAATAAAATACTGTGATAACTGAAAATTCACTTTAAAACATTATTATACCCATAGCTTGGCTATACCGGTCTTCTACACATGAGAGTGCTTAAAAATATTGATGTGGTGAATGTCCAATAAACTGCTGTCCTCTAAGGGAGGGTATGGAGTTCTAAATTAGGTTAGGAGAGGAAAAGTATCATTACCTTCCTTCTTAGTAGATACTAAGAATAAGTCCTTTAGTGTTCAAAGTAAATAAAATAAAATAAAAGTAATAAAATACACATTTCTTGCATGGCCATGATGCGGAGACTTGGGCTATCAGGATAATGTGTTTATTTCCCTAATAGCATCATAGATGGCTATGGGCTTGGAAGTCAGGGCTCTATCAACTCAAATCTGCTTTCACCACCTATAAAATAAAGAGGTCACAAGACATACTTCCTGCATTTTTGAAGCTAAATTAGCCTTTATAGGTTTAAAACTTTACAGATGCCCAATAAATTTAAAATTGGTTTTCATTACCAATTCATATTCGTAATGAATGCTAAAGCACTTCCCCAGAGTCAACATTCTTCCTGAGTCGTTGCTTAATATGTTTCCAATAGTGCTTTTCAAAACAGAAATGACCAAGAGAGTTCTAAGTATCTTCTAATTTCCTGAACCATATAGAACATGGTATATAATATATGATATTATAGGAAGCAATACACTGTTATGTAAAATACAACCTTGAAAAGCATCATAGCAATACCCTTAAAATAATATACTAAAATTTTTGTATAAACCTCATATTTATATCCAATTTTTTTTGCTTGAAATGGCAAATGCTATTAGCCCCTCTCATTAGAAACTGAACCACTGGAAGAAATAATAACTTGCCTAAGGAAAGAGGGGAAAAGTGTCAGAGAATGATATTAACTCAAAAGTCCTAGTTTTATTGCCATAGTTCTTAACTATGATGCTGACTGGCATGCTGAGTGCACAAATGATGATAATGTGAATAAAATATTCACTGCATCATTGCATCAGTGTAGAAAGAGGTTTAGGAGAGATTTATAAGGAAACAAGAAAATCACTCAAAAAATTAAAAAAAAAAACTTTATCAGTTTTGTATAATTTGGTGATTTAAATTTAAAAAAAATGTACTGTTGCAAACCGGAAAGTGGCAATAGTAATGTTTTCATTCTGACTAAATATTAACCTACAGTGAAAGCCTTATACAGAGTTTCAGTGAGAAGCAAATATGGTTAGAATACATACATAAAGCAATTGGTGGTTGTGATAGCAAGTGAATAATTATAGAAAACAAGTGTTTTTTGAAGAGGATCTAAAAGAGATAGAAATGTACTACCTGTGTGTGGAGAGAATTAAAGAAAGATTCATTAAATAATTTTTAAAAAAGCACCAATTATTTTTAATAAATGAGTATACAGGGACAAAGAAGAGCCTTGGAAAATTCTCAACAACCATTTAATTTTCAGAAGTTTGATAGTCTAAAATTTTAGAATGAGGAAAATGCTTAGGAATTCGTCATTCAAACAGAAATATAGAGAGACATATTATCCGTATTTAAATAAAAAACAGGTACAAGGTAGAGGAAGAGCTCTACCTAATGAAGAGCTCCATTAGTGAAAAGATGAACACAGGTACTAAGAAGAAACAAAGCCTGTCATGTTTCAAAAGGCTCTCGGTGTGCGAGGTAGACAGTGAACACATTAAGTGACCTTAAAATGAATGTGAAAGCCATCTGCATGGTATCTGTAAGAGTCCTTCAGTCTGGTGCTCATTCATTTAATGAATATCAGAGTATTAAAACAAATAATGTTGAGTTTATTTTTTATGTGGTCTCTCTCTCTCCATATATATATA